ACGTAAAAATTCTCTAATTAGTCTGGAAACGGGGGACCTAATTCTTGCATTTTGTGAAAACGGGTAAGATTGGCTATAATGTAATTATTTTAATCTTCACTATCGTTACTTTTTGTCCAGCGAAGCGGGTCCTTGCAGCTAGATTCAAGATTACTTTGAAAAACAGTCTTATATATATATATATAAAACTATAATATTACATACAAATAAAAACCCAGCGAAGCGGGATCTTGCAGCTAGTATATATATATAAAAAAAGATGAATATATATATATATATAATATATTGCATTTACAAGCATTTTTTGCATGAAATATAGCTAAGGTAAAAAAAACAAAGGGTTTGTTTTGGAAGTCAGGAACAGATTAATCCATTTTATATTGTTTCTTATGAAAAAATTTGTTTAGGTTTGAGAACAACTTTTAGGAATGAATTAAGATCGAAACCTGAACTGTACTTATAAAATATTTGTACACTTCGTATCTGAAATGTAATATCATAATATGAATGACATAATCTTATTCCAGAAACATTTATAGGAAAATTGGTCCATTGTAACTGTTGCTTCAGAAATTATATGCCTTATTGCTTCTAGTTTGTTAAAATAAATGAGTAAATAGCCATTGTACATAGTTGATGTTTTTATACAAATTTATTGAATTTATAGCTCTATTTTTTTTTTTTTTTTTTTTAATCTGATTACAGTGGGGTTAATCGGTTAATGAACATAAACTTTTCCAAGACTTTTCTATCCGAATTGTTCATTAACCGATTATCAATTTACCATAGGTTTTTATGGAATTTGATTAATTTGTTCTGGAGACCTCAAAAAAAAAAAAATTATATACTTTCTTACTAAGTTTATTTATATGTAATAATAAAAATACATATATACACAGTCTTGCATTTTTGTCATGTTTTTTCCATTTGTGGGGTTAAAGAATCTGTCTAATGTTGATTGCTTCTCTTAGGATTTTTTGGACGTAATTAATAGCATTGTAATTGTAGAGATCCCCAAGCGTATTAACCTCATTCTGATTTGGATGCAATTTTAATGTCCGTTGTTCTGTTATCCTTTCACTTCTTCAAAAGATCTTTAATAGCAGATGTCAGCATTGTTCCTCTTTTGTCTTCCTCTTTCTCAAAAGAAAACACATCTCTCTGAGTTTCTTGGTGTTCTTGGAGTTGTTGTCATCATATTAGTTAATGGAATCTGAAATTGATGTGACGACAGAAGAACTCCAAGAAACATGAGCTTTTCAATGCTCTATTTCTCAGATGATGGATTGATTTTCATTACTCCTTTAGGTGCTTGAGACTTCTTGATATATCTTTCATAGCTAAGATTGTGTTTACTGTAACCTATTCAAGCCATACTGCCTAGCAACATCAGACATCGTCTTCCCACTCTTTACCTTGGTTATTATCTCTTGCTTGGTTTCTTTAAATAAAAACCTATGCAAAACTTAATGAGTGCCTGCCCGACAGTCTTGCGAAGACTATAAAAAATTATTTGTCAGAAAGGTAAACAAAAAGCTGGAATTACAAGGAAGAGTTTCAAAATTTGGAGGAATACTATCTGATCGTTATCAGGTTGAGCGTCAATGTCGGACGTCTTCAGAGTTTCAAAAAGTTTTGAATTGTCGCTTGGAGACAAGGGAAGACCAATCAGTATTCACTATTTTAAATCACTCTTTTTTTCTGTTTGTTCATTGTCTGAACATAAAAGTCTTTTGTGAAAGTGTTTGTTATCTGATTTGTGCACAGTCCGAACTGTTCGTTAACTGATCACCCATTGTATAAAAAATCAATTTTTGGACTGAGCTTTATAATGTAATATTAAAGATATAATCATATTCAAGTTCAATAACCCCAGTTTTTATAAGAAAATGAAAATGTTTATTAGATTTGTGATCAAACTATTTTAGCATTTTTGTTTAGATGCTTCATTTTTATATGCATATTCTGTACATTCAAAATGAAAATGGCCTCAGATTATTATGGTGTAAATTTGTGATTATTTGATTTTTATTTATCATATTTTGAATATTCAAAATACTATAATGATTTGACAAATTAAATATATAGAAATTTGATTATTGTAAAATCCATAATTTTGTAATCCAAAATGCTTTTGAATATTTATTCTCTATCAGTCATGTTTGTTGAAACTGCATAATATATAAACAAGTTTTAAACACTACTTTAAATTAGAATAAGGCTAAAACTATCTTTCAGATTATAAATTATAAAAATACTAGAAATTTCCCCATCAAGCATGACTGAATGTTTTTTATCAGAAAGTAGAGGTTGAAGAATTGAAAAGAGTAGAGATTTCAAGAAATTTAAGAAGAGTTGCTATTCTACGAATTAACTAGTTTATACTTGAGCTTGATGATGTGATGCTGTTTCTGCAGCCCTTGACAAAGCTATTCTTACTCAATGTTGCTGAAGTCAAACTTAACAACCTTCAGGGGTCTTGGTGGTTCTTAATCTTTTAGATCTAGAATTTACGTACCAATTTTACTCTTATGCTTTCCCCTAGGTGTTTCACTATTTTGTTATATTAAAAAGAAAAAAAAGTCTTTTTAAACCGACAATGATAAAACAAAGGTGAAATGTATGTACGTTAGTTAGATGAGAATTAACACTTTCTACATAATGTACTCGTTAAATCATTATTTCCAATTTTATAACAGAATGTCACATGGTCACTATGGAAACATTTTTTTAAAAAATTTGTTATAGAAGTGACATGATATGGTTATCTTCTTTTAAAGTTTAAATTTTAAATTGAATGAAGTAAGTTTAAGATATGCCATAGCCAATATGATTATATTTATGATTATATTGGCATTTCAAAATATTTAAAAATGTAACTTAAGGGAAATTTCCTTGTCAAGCATGAACATCACGTGGTCACTGATGTCACTGCAGTGTAAGAGTGATCACTGATCAGAAATCTATAAAACATTTATTCTAAAGCTGATATTTTTGCAAAATAAGTAACCTATACTTTCTGTCAGAATGTAAAATGAATATAACCAAAATTTCATTTGGATTGGACAAAAATTGCAGGAGTTGTAAGAAATTCACACACAGATGACGGCTTTTATATTAGTGATTTCTTAGGTTACATATTTATCATTTTTAATTTCGTAATTTTCCATCATTTGTTAATTCAAAGATTATATGAAAAATGATAGTAATATTGTAAAATTCCCTTATATTTACTGTTGATGATAAACAAATATCTTAATAAATTTTTTTATTCTGAAATATTTTGTCTATTATTTTATCTCATTTTAGTTTAATAAAAATATAGCTAATGAATAATAAATGCTTTTCGTACTTTATTATAAATAAATTAATAATAAATAAATGTTTTCCAGATACTTCGAAGGCATTATGAATGTATTAAAAAAGTACTTGATGCATTAGCTATGATGGATATATTGACAGCAGAACAAAAATTATTAATAAATCGAAAACTATCACAGTGAGTATTAATTTCCACTTTTTTCTTCCTTCAAAAATTTAAAATATATTATTAATACAGTACTATTATTACAAGTTCCATCAAATACAGTCGACCTCCCTATAAGATCATAGATACGTTCCATTCTTTAGGAATCCGATTTCTTACGAGTCCTTCCAATCACAGCCCGACACGTGTGAAGTTTACGGACTACGGCTGATTGAAAGGTTTTCTTTTATAAAATTAATCGATTCTAGACTAATCCGACTCAACATTTCCAAAATACGTATATTTTTTTTTGGAA